TGCTTTGCCACATGATCTCTCCATGGCTTCCTCCATGGTCTTCGGTAGGGTCTGTAACAGGATAGCATGGTATTGGTAGATAGTATCAGCTTTCTGAAGGACATAGGCTTGCAGATACTTTCTGAGGGAAGGATATCAGTTAGACTTAGGTGTAACACAAAGATGGAAACACACAGTCTTAATTTTGACAAATTGCCCATCCTGGCTGACAGGCTCTCTGTCAAGGGAGATGATAAGTGTTTGGGGCTTCATTGTTATATAGTGTCTGTCAGAGCTATCCAGCTATATTCAAGGCAGAAGTGCTGTGGGAGTAGGCTGTGTTCCAATAAAACTTTATTTGTAGGGACAGGCTGCAGGCCAGGTTTAGCTATGCTTGTACTGATCTCTGCTTTGGAATATCATTCTCCTTAAGATGAAAGGGCTCCTACTTCTGGGTCTTGGTTCTAAAATTTTGTTTTCCTTTAGGAAATTGTGTTCAGCTTTCCCCTTCCCCCAGGAGCAATGGCTTAGACCACATGGGGTGTTTTTTCCTAGTTAGGCGTAGCTTGGTTAAGGACTAATAGCATGATGCTAGGTGCTGGGAACACAGACCAGGAAAGCCTGGCCAGACTCATTTTAGCAAGGAAGACGTCTCTAAAGCATACATGCAACAGGTAAGTGTCATCTGGGAAGCAGGATCAGATACCATGGTATTATTTGTGGTGTCCTTTGAGGAGAGTTTTATAAAGAACCAATGAAGGAAACTAGCATTACATAATCCACTTAGACTTAGATTCTTAAAAAAAAAAAAAAAGTACCTAAAGATGGAGAGGAAAACAGGTTACTCTGGTGAGGAAGGAACAGGCGGCGGTAGTCACACGGACAGGTCTAGAGGTCTGAATACAGCCACATAAGGGAACTGGGGGTTTTTGTGAAGCGTTTGAGCTGCTTTCTCTTTCCATAAAACTTAACTGTGTGGCTCTACTTGACGGTGGCTTTCTTACTATCTGCATGTTCCCTGGTGCTGTGTTCTCCAACTTGGCATGACATTACTTACTGCAAGCAACATTTATTTACTTTTTTTTTTTTTTTTTACAAAAAGCTGGTGATATGGGGTAGAAGTTTAAACTTTTGGCCCACGTTGGACACCCAGCACACCCTTCTGTCTCCCATGGTGCTCCCAGGAGCAGAGTGACTAGTCCCCAGTCAGCAGGGTGGACAGGTTTAGGCTCGAGCCAGCACATTTCCCAATTTGAATGAAGTCCACCAATGAGCCAGGAGGCATTTGGTGCCCCAGGTGTTTGGGAAGGAAGAAAATACCATCTCTCCTGTAATTTTGCCCCTGTTCCTTTAAGAAAGGAGGATGGGTCAGAGAACGAACCCAGACATGACCCTCCGCAGAAGGACAGCTGACCATGGTGGGGACTGTGCAGGGTCTGTGGGGGAGATTGGGGTGTAGAGTGGAAGCTTGAAGGCAGTGATTGGTGGTCTGGGAACCAGGAGCACCAAGTCACTGGGTCTCACACAGAGGGTTAAAGGGACAGATACCTTTTATTCATCCAGCCTATGAGAAAACTAGATTTTCTCATCCTGTCCCCGATTGTGTCATGAGCAAGTTGCAACTCGACGTCGGGGAATGTCTAACAGCAGGGATGGGGAGGGCGGCGGCCTGCGGAGCTTGTAAAAGTGCCGTCCCATTTGTCACAGCTTGCTTACTCACCCGGGTTTTCCTTTTAAGTTGCTTCCCCCCCCCCCCAGTTTAAAAGAAAGTTTAATGACCGTTTTTCTTAGAATCTCTGGCTTACTTGTTATCACACCCAGCAGTGCTTATTTTCCCCTTCTCATGAGAGTTTTTCACCTTCAGTGAAGTAAGGAGATACTGAATTATCAGGCTTACTTTTCAAGGAATTTCTCCTGTGACTGAAGTCTTATGTCCCCTCCTAATTCTATGTTTAGTCTAAAAGGTCTAAATGGGGCACTGAGATGGCCTGAAAAGTATCAAACTTACCCAAGAATCTATTTTTTTCTTAAGTGTATTTGTGACTAGAAACAATATATAACAATATAACTATATATATAACTATACATGTGTATATATATATATATATATACATACACACACGCACATACACACACACACACACACACACGCACGCGCGCGCCTAACAAGTATTTGGTTTTGGTTTTGTCTTTGCTATGAAAAGCAGAATCTTTCTGCACTATGAACTCAGAGATGCCCTAGTGTGTGGACACCACACTACTCTCTGAATTCAGGGGCTGCTTTGCCCTCCTCTGGCTCTGCCCAACCTGGGACAGTGGTGGTGGGGAGGTTGGGGCGGGGACAAGCAGGGCTCTTCAGAGAGAACCCGGTGAGTAGAATTGCTGTGATCCAGGCATGTGGACTGGGTTGTGAACACTGGACTATAACCCTGAATTCAAATGTGTACAAACACAAATTGAGAAAACCATAATGAAAATATACGTGTGAGTCAGAATGACTGGCCACAGTGACGCCTGACCTCATTGGCTAGAACAGACGTGCCTGTGTGTATTGCTGGCACAATCTGGCCTTGGTATTTGCTTGGGTTTCCCCAGTGTAATTGTGGTTGTGGCACTCTGCTCTCTGGTGCTGTGACATCTCGGTATTCTGACACTTCCTCCACGTATTGCATGTAGCCTTTCTGCCTGTTTAATAACAGTGCCTCAGTTTTTTTTTCCTTTCCTTCCTCTCCTGCTCCCTCCTCTCTTTTAGGGAGCAGGACCAGTGGGTTGAAGCCTTGAAGCCATGGTAGGGGCATTCTTGCTCATTTGCATTTGCTGGCTGTGTTCAGCGGATGAGAAAGGGTGGAATTAGAACTGGTTTGTAGGGATTACGTTTATTGCCCATGGGACCTGCAACCCACGGCAGAACAACTTCCTTGGCTATGCTGCTCTGAAGGCTCGTCCCAGAGCTTCCCAGAGCAGTGTCTGAGGTGAAGGTTGCTCTGGGGTGTGTTTGTAATTCCAGTCCCAGTCATACCAGCTCTGGAAGCAAACTTGTGTGTGAGTGTGTGTGTGCTTGTGTGCACGTGTGTGTGTGTGTGTCTTCCATTGTCTGAGCAACACTGGGAGTCTCCCAGGTTTCCAGTATGTTCTGTTTCACACCTGAGTTCCAAGTCTGCCTTCCTTCCTAAGCACATGCAAGCAATGGCTGTAAATTACTTGTCTGCTGCTTTTGTGGAGTGAACAGAGGTAATGGATAAATAAATACCTGCTACAATCTCAGCCTCAGGAAGCATGAATATTTAAGGCTGAGGATGTCAGGGCAGTGGTGTTAGAAAACACTCTCTTGTTTCTTGTGCTGCATGAACCAGGCCCATAACTTAGCTTAGGAATAAATGAGCATGAGGCCCAGTCTCTTGGATCTGTAGCCCAGTTGTCCAGCCCCGCCTCTCCTTGCTAGAGCAGGGATGTGGATGTGGCGGGGTGGCCAGCATGCCTGGCTGTGGCTGAGTCCACCTCTGGAATTGGGTATCTGGATGTCACTTTGTGGCATCCTGGGCAAGTGCCTTCATAGCTTGGGCTCATTTAGTGCCTTGGCCGGCATGTAGAGCACAGTCTTCGCCACTAACTCACAGTGGGGAAAGGCAGTTTGAATATCAATCAGAGCAGCCAACTTCTGTCTCAGGGTCTTCTTTCTATGAGAAAGTAACAGAAAAGTACCTATGTTTCCCAGGGCTCCATGGCGTCCAGATCCTTCTGCTGTGGCTCAGCAAGCTGCCTCTGGTTTCTCTGTGTTTGCTCCTGGGGTTGCGTCTGTAGGGTCAGTCTGGGTACAACTGTGGGGTTTTGGCAGGTGCTGTGGACTGTCTCTAAGGCTGCCTTGAGAGACCCTGGGAGGGAACCGGGGCAGACTGGCCTCTTTGCTAGTGCAGAATGCTGGGGAATAACAAACGTGGACTCAAGTCCCTTAGGCCAGGAGACTCAGGTCTCTCTGCTCTCCCCTCATAGCAGGGGGCCCACGGGAAGCAGGAGTGCTGTACCTGTGTGTATACAAGAATGTGTGCAAAACATCATGTCCCAGGCTCGTGCACGTGTCAGCTGGTGGCCGTGCTGTGGGTGGTGTCCTGCTTCGTTCTCCGGTGCTGGAGGCACATCTGTCTCCCTGCCAGGACACATGCTTTAGTCAGTGTCTTCTTCCCTCTAAATCTAGAGGAGACCCTGCACCAGGATAAAAGCCAAAAGGAAAGTTGTTGAAGGGCCTTTGTATGAACAAACGGCATGGGTGAATTATGAAAGTTGTTGAAGGGCCTTTGTATGAACAAACGCATAGGTGAATTGTGTCCTTGCCGCTTATTGGATCTTAGCCAGTACTATTTAAAACTTAAAGTTTTGGGATGAGCACAGTGTCTGCCACCTGTGATCTGAGCTATTCAGGAAGATTGTGGGTCAAAGCCAGATCCCATCTCAACCTGTAGCTGGTCTCTGGTATACACCTCTCATCCCAGCTCTTGGACACTGAGATCTGGAGACTCATGGTTCCAGTCAATCCTTGGCACAAAAATTTTGGAGATTACGTCTCAAAAGAAATATGCTAATCATGGGAAGTAGAAATAAGAGGATCACTGTCCCAGGCTTTCTATCCTGGGGAAAAAAGATCCTTTTTCAAAAATGACAAGAGCAGAAAGGGCTTGAGACATGGAATCGGAGTCCGAACTCATAATGGACAGAAAAGGAACTAGATCCACAAAGAAAGTGACATGCCTCTGTGAGTTGAGGGCCAGGTTGGTGTGTCTAACATGGAAGATAGGTGAATACATCTACCAGGGAGGAAAATTTACCTGTTTAAGGTAGAGCATGGCCACAGGGCTCATCTGAGACCTGGCTGTCATCACAGTGAATGATAATGTTCTCCTGTTTCTTGAGGAGGGACAAAGTACCTCCTCCTGGGGAGGGACCCATATCTTGCGGGTTCTCGCACAGAGCTGTGGAGTTTGCTCTGTTCTGGGAGCCATGACTGAGGTCTCTGCTCTCTCTTTCAGAGTGAAGCCCTGGTGGACCTCCACTGCACCTCAAGGTTGCACATCGAGAAAATTGTGCTCCGAGGAGATGCTCAGCACGCCTCCAACCCAAAGCTGCTTTCATGTTTCGTTCCCATCTGAGTAACTCTACATACATTTTGAGACATCTGTGAACTGTGTTAGACAAGAAGCCGACACCATGATCGCCTGCTGCCTCCCTCGCTGCCCCCTCTGTGGGGCATCCATGACTGTGCTGTGTGTGTTGCATTTCGTTTTGTTTCATAACTAAATTAGCAGATAAAGTTCTTCTCCAGCAAATTGGATGTTTCCATTGGCCTTAAATTGTGGCCAGAGTCTTAACTTCCTCTTCCTTTCGTGTTTTACAAAGCAGGGTGTACCCCTCAGCATGCTGGGAGATTCTCCCACACCCACTGGAGTGGTAAAATCTGGTATTGACTGGCTTACACTCAAAACTACCACAGTCCTACCTCAGTTCAAGGTAAAGCTGGGTTGCGGGCTGGTCACAGCAGGACCTTCTGCGAATCCATGTCCAGTGCAGCCCCCCACCTCCGGCGCCCGAGAAGACGCAGAGTCCAGCCAGGACCTGCCAGGACCGGCCGTGTTCATGTGCACACAGAGCCTGGTGTGGGACTGATGATTCTCCACCGAGTGAAATCTGGGACTGGACTTTGACGATGGATTCTAAGAATAATTATTAACTATAACTGAAGCAACCTACTTTTGAAGCTCATCAATCAGCTGGGTGGGGGCGGGTGGGGGCTAGAGGGCATGACTTACCTCTTTGTATCTTTGACTGGTGTATCTAACCTTCTCTGTGTAGATGTTTGTGTAGGTACTTCAAATCGCAAAAGCCTTTTCTCCTATCCACAAGCTCAGATGTCTCTGCTGTCCTGAATCTGGGCCTGCATTTCTCTAACCAAAAACTCACGTAGGCATGCTAGCAGCTCAGAGCTGGTCTAGGTTTGGCAGATTTAACTTTTTAAATGTATTACCTTTAATGCTATTTTGTTGATCAGTAAGGCTGCCCCAAACAGAGAGAGAGAGAAAGAGAGAGAGAGAGAGAGAGAGAGAGAGGAGTCATTCCAGCCATTGTGCAATTAGAGAAATGAGAAGAGAAGCGGTGCCGTCTCTCACAGTCTGTGTTGCTTGATGAGGCTGAGGCTACCCTTGTTCTGTGTTTTCAGTGTTTCGAGAATGTTGGCGTTGTGGCGATTGTCACAGATGTCACCTAGGACTGCTGAGCTTCCCCACAGAGTGTCTGTCAGCCTGCCACCCTGACACGTGGCAGGAGGCACCGCCCACCCCAGTGCCTGTCTCCCTGATCGTCCTGTAGAGGCTGCACTAATGCTTGGAGATTGAGTTGTTGGTTTTTTGTTTTTTTTAATTGGTTTTGTTGTTGTTGGAGAAAATATATATAAATATATAGAGATATATCACTATAGAATAATGCATTAATTAAATGAGGCTTTTTAGAGGAAGACCAAAAAATTCAATGTCTTAAAAAAATATATGTAATGGCAGTGCAAAAGTCTTCCTGCTTCTGTGTGAACCTTAGAACAGAGGATTGTATTGCAAGACAAAGTTGAATGTAAAGTGATCCCCGAGCATTAAGGTTTTACTTTGCTGAGATGACACATCATAGCAGTGCGTAGGCCATACATACCATGTCAGTTTGAAGGTCAGTTTCAGTGTACGCTATACTTTATTAAGATGTACAGAATCTCCAGTTTTATTTCGTTGTGGGACACTAGGAATCGGCGGATGGTACTTGCTCAGGGGCAGAGGACCGAACACAGGCCTTCCTGGTTGCAGTGCTAGATGTGTAGGTTTTGACTCGATCCAGATGGCTCATGTCCCTACTGCACCTGAAAATGCCGATGCTGTACTAAATTCTCCTCTATCCTGTACATTTCAAAAAACAAAAGGCATATGCAATATTTACACTTTTAATTTAGTTTACAGAAATGAACCAAAATGTATAAATGTTATGTTTGCTAAAACTTCACACTGTATATTGGGTCTTTGTACATTTTGCCTGACTTACCTTAAATTTAAAATATTTTTTGCTATATAAACTTTAACAGTTAGTAAACAGTGTTTTCTTTTGGGTACATATTGTTTCTGGATACGAAGATGTTAAATATATTTCTTGCTATCGTGTTAGGAAGAGACTTGACTTCCCTCACCCTGTCTTCCATGAGCGCTGTACATAGGGCAGGTGTGGCGCTGCTGGAGACAAGGATAAACTGGACTAGGGTAGTGCGTTGTATTTTAGTCTGTACTGACCGTGGGTACCCTCCTTAATAGCCATATGCAATAAAATAAAATACATTATTTATGAAACAAATGAAGCTTGGACCTTTGGTGTCTCTTCTGCATGGGTCCAATTTACCTTTGAAATACCAAGTTAACACAGACCTGGTCTACTCCTGAATTACGAGTTGAACAGTGTGGAGTCATCAAAACAAATTTTAGATTCCTAAAAAAAATACTTTGATACCTCTTAAAATCTATACTGGAAACAGAAAATGTTCCTTTAATTATGAGATTTAATGAAAAAATAGATGTGTTTAAAAAACAACCTTCCAACTCATGAGAGTCCTTCTAAGGGCTCATTCTCCATGCAAGTATGAATTCCTTCATGGCTGCTAACAATGTCAGGTGGTAAGAATCGCCCTCTCTGGCTCGAGTGTGCAGGAGCGGAGGGGATGTGGCGGCTCTGAGGCACGTAGGCCGGGAGTAGCAGTGCAGCCTGGAGTCCACTGCCTTCTGTGATGGGTTGTCAGTGTGTGTTGGGGGCTTTGTCTTTGTGGCTGTGGGTCTGTGCTGTGAGACAGTCCCCCTGAGCCCAGACAAAGCCTTGACTCTGACAGAACCTTCTGAGTGCTGGTCCCTCTTCAGCCTCCCAGAGTCAAGGAAGTGATTTGTTTGGTGTAAACTCACAACTAGAATGGGTGGGCTTTGTGGGAAGTTCTCTCCGAAGACATGAGAGAGGACAGGCCAGCTGCCCCTCTGCTGTGAAGGTGGCTGCCATTGGGTGGAAATGGGGGGGATGTGGTTCACCCCTATGTCTGAGAGACTTCCCCCAGAACAACTCCCTTTTCTACTGTTCAGCTCCCTTTTCTACTCTCGCTCCTTATGATAATATTGTGGCACTGAGGAGAGTGGAAAGATCCCCAGTCCCTGTACCCTTTGGACTTGCTTTCAAGGAGAAGCAGATAGCAGAGGAAGGCTACCAAATGGCAGGGAATATGAAGGTGTAACAGCTACTTTCCCATCGCTGGCAAAACACGTGACAGAGCAACTTAAAGGAGGAAAGGTTTGTGTTTGCTCATGATTTCCTTGGCCCTGGGTGCTGGTGAAGCACATCATGGTGGCGGGAGGGTGTGGAAGAGAGGAGCTTCTTTACCTCAGGGTGGACAGGAAGCAGTGACCTAACTTCCTCCGGCAAAGTCCTGCCTCCAGATGGTTCCAGACCATCTCCAAAGAATGCTGCCAGTTGGAGGCTAAGCACCGGTACAGGAAACTTGCTGAGGATACTTCAGATCCATACCATACTGGTTACGGCAAGTTGGGGGGTGGGGGAGATCAGTGAGAGTGCCCCCTTTATGTAGGTTGATTAGGGAAAGACTTCCCAGGAAAAGGATGCTTGAGAGGTGAAAGCCAGGAAGAAATGGAGGTCCGCTGTTAACAGAAGACAGGACTGAAGGGCTGTAGATCCAGAAGGACAAGGGCAGAGGTGTGCATGGCACCGTGGAGAAACAGTAAGGAGGTAGCCGTCTCTATTCTACTCCTCTGAGCTGTCGTGTAGAGTTTCCTTTTAGGTGAGAGCCAGTTATATACAATCATCTGTTGTGGTCTTGTTGTTTTAGAGTGTGGTCATTAGGCGCTCTCTCCAATTCCTAATATATAGCAAGCTGGGAGAGATGGAAAGAGATGGAGCAACAGCAAAATCTCTCTGTGGCTTTGTGAGTTTTTTGTTTGTTTTTCTGGTGTGGGTCTATCCAGAGGCCTAGCACAGGAGGGCTAAGGGACATCGTCCCTCCCAGCGGAGGGCATGTTCCAAGTCACTGTGGGTGGAGAGCCAGACCCTGGTGAAGGGCTGCTGGTGGGCTGTGATGGTGGGGGTGGGGTTGGCGTGTTTCTCAGTGCTGCTTTTCCCACAAAGCACTTGGTTTCCTTGGAGACGCGGCTGCTGCAGAGAATACAGGAAGCAGGACAATCGGTTCTCTTTCTGCCCACATCCGAGGACAGGACAAGTAGCCTTGTTGGTGGGCTGTCCCCAGGCACATGTCCCTGTGGCCACACCCTGTGTGGCCATGCGGGTCTCTGCTTTGGGGTGATGAGTGAGCCAGTTTTCTCGGACCCAGGTGGAAACACGTTGGCCAGCTTACTCCCCCTACAAGTATTTTCCACAGTACCAGGCTGGGGGAGTTCTTTTTGACCTACTGATGCAGATGTTGCTATTTGTTGCATTTTAATCTTGCTCATCATCGTCTGTCCCACATCTCCACAGAGGTCTGTGCTGTGAATAGAAAGGGAAAAGCCAGAGACCAGTCCCTGACCTCGTGTGTCCCCCAATGAGCACTTGCTGATCCTGTACCACCACCATCACCAGAGATAAGGTTAAATAAAAATCCTGTCTCTCCAGCTGTATTACTCAAATGAATCAGAGGGTAAAGTCCCTCGTGTCTGTGGTGACTTTGAAGGCTGGGATCTACTCCTAACTCTACAGCAAGCAAGGCAAGTCGCCTTCTGGACCGGGTGCCTAGAGGAGCAGCGGTGCTGAGTGTGTACTCAAGGTCAGTCAGCCTAGCTTGCTCATCACAGGCAGGAGGGGAGGCCTCCACCATGAACCTTGCTTACCACCACTCTGCAAACCTGTAGCCTTGACTTCAGTGGGCACTTCTTAGCTGTGGGGCAGAGATAGCAGGACACATTGGCAGCAGGACATACTGCTGGATCCCCTCCATTGTCCCCTCTAAATGGGCACCCTCGCTGGCTGGGCCATCCCCCCTGGCTGCTCCTCCCTGGTCTCCTGGAGGGGTAGAGTAGTACATGGAGGCTGGAGGCTGGCTGAGAGAGGCCGAGTAGCAGGGCCTTGAGGGCGTCCTCCCAGAGAGGGTTGTGTGTGCCTGCTGGCTGGCCGGCCGCCAGTGTTGTTTACTCCTCTCAGCAGACACTCACGCTTTCTCCCGAAGTCCATTTTCTAAAGATGGCACTTGGCTCCCAGTCCTCTCCTGCCTCCATCTGTGCTGCCTGGAGCCTTGGTGTCCACTGAATGGTCAGGCCAGCCCCTTGCTGGGCAGCAAGTCCAGTGCAGGGCATTCTAGAACCTTCTCTAATGCTTAGTACTTTCCTGGGAGGAGTTGAGATGCCTTCCCTTTTCTGGGCTCTGCAGGAAGGGCAGGGCAGGCAGTCACTGGCCGAGCTGATGAAGGGAGGACACCTTGGGGACTTTAGCAGGCTCCAATCCTTTTTTGCATGAAGGCAACCCCCTAGAAGCCACTAAGTACTAACATGTCAGCCTAATTGGACATCCCTCCTGGCATGTCCCGGGAGGCTAACTGAGCTCCACAGGAAGCATTCACACCAAGCTCCACTTCTCCCTGCCTCCATTCCTGCTGGCAGCCAAGCTGCTTCCCCGGCCAGCCACACCCACGGCACAGAGCGTTCCGTCATTGGCAGGTACCTGGCTTCCCTGCTCCTCAGGACCTGCGGGCCTCAGGGTGTGGCTGAGCAGGAGCTCAGGAGTAAATATCCACACCTATGGCCAGAGAGACGCGGAGCCCAGCCCAGGTCACACAACCTGGAACTGCTGGCCCAGCGACTTAGCCCGGATGTGGGGGTCACAGCATCTTGCAAAGGCTACCAACGCTTCTCACCGAATGGGCCTGCTCCTGCAGCAAACACCTGCAGTTCCAGGTTCGGTCAAGGGGCATCATACACTGGTAAGTGGGGGAAGGAAGATACTTAATTACATCTCCTTTCTATTCAAGGCCAGGTAGACTGGTGAGAGTGTTAGTGATGAACCGCATCAAGTAAATGTAATATGCGTTCAACGAATTCCTGTGTTGTTCTCTGGTTTTTATTTGTCAAATGCTGTCTGTGGACATTGAAATAACATAACAGAACTCTCTGCTTCAAAGTCAAAACCAGTGGACAGCAAAGACCAGATCTTGTTCCTCTTGCCTGGAAATAAGCCCAGGGGCCGTGGGTCCTAGGCACTTGGCACCAGGCAGACAGCTGCACTGTTGGCTTTATGGGCTCCAGCAGACAAGGAAGCAGGGACCAGCCAGGAGGGAGCTGAGTGGTGAAGCGGTGGATGGCTAGAACCTGCCACCCGGCTCACCTGGAGATTGCTCAGTGTCTCTGGTCCTCTGAACTTAGAGTCACAGATGCATCTGCACTCTCATGAATTTGACCTCTGGAATTCATGCTTTCTGCCATTCTATAGCATGCAAGGCCAGCACAGGGGAGGACAGACTGTGAGGACATGATCTGTGGTGCAGTTTCTGGTGGCACCCAGTGGATTGACAGCAAGGAGGTCTGGCACCTCAAATTCTCATTAGTGAGTCTCCTTGTCTGTCCATCAGTGGTGCCCTTCGAGGTGCACAGATAGATAGATGTTAGGGAAGAAAATGAGGAGTCAGTATGTTTACTTTCAACAGTGAAATGTATGCCTAATGGTTATCTTTGTCCACCTGTACATGCTCCGGTGATAAACATTTTAGCATAGTCTCTCCTTTGGTTTGTAAAGTGAGATTGCCTTCATTATAGATTCCCACTTGTCCTTACGTTTTGCATTTTCTAGTTTAGATCACTTTGCACTTTGTTTTATAGGGCACAAAGAGTTTCCTATCATCTTCCAACAAAAACGTTTATTTAACATAATTCTAGGGAACTCACGGATAAGTTCCAAATGAGAACTCAACACTGAAAAGTGTACAGTGGTGGCCAATGTCCTGCAGGTACAGAAGTGATAGATGACCTTTATTATCTGAGGTCCTAGCTTTTTGTCAACTATACATACCTAATCCTGGGGTGTCTTTTACCCTCAGCAGCACTGCACATCTTTCATTTCTGACAGTGATATGCTAGGCTTACGGTTGGAACAGAGTCCAGGGTCAGCCTGAGGAGGGCTCCACGCATCCAGCCGCCAGACCTTTCAAGGTCTTCTTAAGCCACAATTTCCCTGAAATATGAAATGAGTCAACATATAAATGCTAAGGAAACTAAAGCTTCTCCAAATACTGCTGAAAAGAAAAGAAAAGAAAAGGGAAGGGGGAGGATGGGGGGGGGGCTGGGAGGGCGGGGGAGAAAGAACTAGCAGGGAACTAAGATTA